CAAAACCCACGATACCCTCTCATCGTCCCTTCTGAGAAGTGATTGGCAGTCTAATTGCTTTTTCCTTTGACACTTGGTGATTTCCCGCTGTTTGATTTACATATCAAAGCCGGGATAGTCGCGAAACTGGAACTTAAAACACGTTCTAGTGCTGGAGGGAAAAAGAAAAGAAAGCGGAGATGGGGAAAGATTGGCGATGAGGGTTGATATTCATTTGGCTGGGATAGTAGAGCGAATCCACTTGATGCATGAAATGCCGACTGACCACGAAAAGAACTAGACAATAATAACATGTTTAGAGCCTAAGGAAGTAGATACCCCACTTGCTTTGGAGTCATGGAAATGGTAGTGGCTATCCTTATACGAGATAGAAAATTGTTCTCATTTTTATTTTTATTTTTATTTTATTTTTATCTCTATTTTTTAATTTTTTTTCTAATTTCTCTATTTTTCATGAATCAATTGAACTGATTGAATTGAATCCTTTCAGTCGCTCAATACTCTATATGAGCTCGTCTGTCGCTGCCCATTCTGTTGGGAAGCAGTACTAGTACTGAGGAGGTACTGTATACGACCGATCTGACTGTTACAGTACAAAAAGTGTACTTTGATATATTTCCTATCGCCTTCCCCTCTTTTCAAACTTTGCCGTGCGGTCTCTCTCTCCGCCTTTTACCTTCTCCAATTATTATCCCATATCGCTCCTAGCGATCATACCACCACCTCTGCGATTTCTTCTTCTCTCTCTCCTACTTGAACACTGTGTTTCCGGATTTTCTACCGGCGAAGTTCGCTCTGAGTTCTCGGTCGGAGTAGAGTTTTCAGCTCGGAGACAATCCTTTTCTCTGCCCAGCCGTCTCGGGAACGCTTCGGCTTTCCGTCCACACGATTTTCCCCACGGGGTTTTTACTCAACTCGTCCTTGCGCCGCCGCTATCCTTCGCAACTTTACTCCCGGGCAAGAAAGACGACCCTTTAATATATTCCGTGTCCATGGCAAATTGCTCTGCTTGTTAACCTCTCCGTGAAACCTCATATTCGCCTCCATTCCACCCGGACTCGGGCCGTCATCGCCCGGTCTGATGCCCCGGCGTATTCGGTAGCTCTCCGTTCGCCGCAGGTCCACGTCTTGTGCGTTTTGGGCGACCGAGAAGTCAAGGAAGCACGGACGGCCGTGAATATTTCAATACTTCTCGGTTGGACCGACTGAAGATGACCTTGGCGGTTGGTACAATCAGTGGTCTAGACCAAGGGCCAAAAGGCATCCGCAGAGAACGAGAAGTTGAGATCATGGATAACGATACGATCACTGTCAATGGCGCCCCGAAGAAAAGGAAGAGGGTTCGAAAGGTCAACACAGACCGTAAATTTGAATGTACACACGAAGGGTGTGGGAAAAGCTATTCGCGTGCGGAGCATCTATACCGGCATCAACTGAACCGTAAGTGAAAACCCCACACCACAACGGTTATCAAAAGAAGTGATCGCTGACTGATCTCTTTGATGGCTCAGATACTCCCAAGCAAATATATCGATGTGATTTTCCTGATTGTTACCGCTCCTTCGTTCGACAAGACCTCTGCATTCGACACCGTGAACGTCACACCACCCAGGGCTCTCAGCTTCAAAAACGCGATCATTTTGCGCAAGCTGCTTCCAACCAGCCTCAGAGCCCACATCATGTACCTCACGTCAGCCAAGCGACTGTCGTCACACCTCCATCCATACCTACGCAAATGCCAAATGCTCAGTCTAACGGAGTCGTTCCAATATCTCCTTCGTCGTCATCATCTCCCTCTGTCGGCCTGAATTCCGTATTTAGCTACCAACATCATATACTACCATCACAGAATGAAAACACTTTCCCCCGGTCAAATAGCTTAAGCACTCATGGGAAAAGCTCCCCCCCAGTACCGACGAGTTACAGTCCCTCCGAACTACATAAAACGTCATATGGAGCGTTGAGCAACCATCACCCGACAAGTACTTCCATCGGTGAAATCCATCATGACGCACAGTCGCATCCCGGTCAGACATCCGCCACACAATCCCAAGGTGCTGATGGAGCCTACTCATCACTGCCAACAGATGCCAATGGGTCGTCTCTGGCTGATACGGTACCATTTACCTCCCAGGCTGGTATGCAAATGCCCGTGAATGGTTACTCAGGTCTTTCTCTGGCCCCTGCAACAACTTCTACACCGGCGACTCTTGACCAAACAGCCAACATGAGCACCCTTGATGCGATGTCGGGAATGATACCTCCCGGCTCGACAGTTGGGGACCCTGGCTTTGATTCGTTGGCCAACTGTGTCTACCCGATCTTTGGCAGCGAATCATACAACAGATCCCCTTTTGCTATGGCGGAAGATTTTACGGCATGGCTTTTTAATGAACCCGTTCCCGGATCGTCGTCTATGAGCTACCCTGCAGCGACCGGCATGATGCCGAATTACATGGACCCTACGCAACTACAGAATCAATTCTTGTTGGGTGATCCGGCTTATGGGACATTTTTGAGCGGCGTAATCCCGCCCCACCATCCCATGAGCGTTACCAGCATTCTAGACCCCGGTTCACCCCGCGCCATTATATCGGAGGAAAAGCGGCAGGAACTGCTTCATCTCATGGCGACCCGCTTTAATGAAGCCGCCTACTCAGCAGTGGCCAAGCGCAAGGATGCTCTAATGGATGGTGATATGGATGATGACAACCACGTTTTGAGCTTGCGCATGATGCAGACGTACATTGGATCGTACTGGTATCACTTCCATTCTCAGCTACCCATCCTGCATCGGCCCACCTTTTTCGCCGACCAGGCGCCAAACTTGCTTCTCCTGATCGTTATAGCCATTGGCGCATCCACGCTAGACAAGATTCATGGTCCAGAGTTAACCGAAGCAGCATCCGAGCTGGCAGACTTCATTGTATGGCACCTTAGGTGGGAGCTCTTCATGGACGCTGATTTCCGGCCGCCTGCCAAACTGTGGGTCTTCCAGGCCCTCTTGCTGCTCGAGGTTTACGAAAAGATGTACTCTACTCGTGCGTTACATGAACGGGCTCATATTCACCATGATACCACTCTGACCCTGATGCGTCGCGGCAGCTCTTTGATTGGACGTTCCGCGTTCGACTCGCCCGCGAGCTTGAGAGACGACCGGCAGGCCCGGTCGGTGTCCTGTTCGACGACGACACAGGATTTCTCTGCGGATGAATCGTGGACGCACTGGATCAAAGCGGAGGCTACCCGGCGAGTGGCGTTCGCCGCATTCGTTTTGGACTCCACCCATGCCACCATGTTCGGCCACTCGGCTAAGATGGTTGCGCATGAGCTTCGGCTACCCTTGCCCTGCGATGAGGCTTTGTGGTCAGCGACAAGTGCTGCCGAAGTGGCGCGCGTGCAGGCTAGCCTCCATGCTAACGGGGTGAAGCCGGTTATGTTTCTGGATGGCCTCAAACGGACACTTAATGGGCAACGAGTCCGGACTAATGCCTTCGGAAGGACTATTCTCATGGCGGGTCTCCTCAGCGTCAGTTGGCATATGAACCAGCGAGATCTCCAAGTCAGTTCTTTGGGAGTCCCTCAGGCACTGGGTGGTCGAGATAAATGGCGAGCTGCGCTACTGCGGGCCTTTGATAATTGGCGACGAGATTTCGACGAAGCGTTGGGACAAGCTGGGACACCGCCACCTTTCCCGGGGTATCGGGTTCAGCATCCACTTGATGACGACAACGTCTTTGAATCCCGCGACGTGCTGCACGGTCTTGCTCACATGGCGTCGCACGTCGATATCGTCGACTGCCAAATCCTCGGCGGTGCCACCCGACTCATGGGAAGGGCTATTACTGCCAGGGACTACAATGCCGCGCGTGAGAAGATGACCGAGCGATGGGCCACAAAGGCGTCAGCGCGAGACGCGACTTTCTACGCCCTCAAGTTTCTCTCCGAGTGTTTGCTGAGCGGCGAGTCGGAGGAAGGGGAGCTTTACTCAGGACGGGATGACTATCTTCTCAACCGACCATGGGTGATTTACGTTGCGGCATTGGTTGTCTGGTGCTATGGATACGCTCTAGAGGGCCCGATTCGTTCTCCGCCGAAGCTAGCCACGGTGGCGGACCAGCGCCGTGATATGCAAGAGTATCTCCGACGGGTGGGAGGTGTGCGTTCACCTAACGACCTGGAAGCAATGGAGGGTCGTAACCAGTGTCTGGGGATGCTGATGATTCTGCGGGATGGGTTTGTCAACACGCGATGGGAGCTGTTGGCGGAGGCGGCCAAGTTGTTGAGCAGTTGTATTGAGAAGTTGAAGAGCCGATAAGCATTGATACATTTCCCGGGGGTTCTTTATACATATTCGACTCTTTCCTGTGTACGTACGGGCTTCAAGGGGGTTTTTTGTTCTTTCTTTGGGAGCTGGTTGATATCCTTCTCATTTTGTGTTATGTACATATATTATTTTTTTTTGGTCTGTTCATGGGTTATGATTATGCGGTGATACCAATGGGATAAGCGTTGTCTTCTGCATGCGATAATTGTATGATTCAAGGTTCTTGGAGAGTAGCTCTGAGTTTTAGAATAGACTCGTCTACTGGTATTAAGCAAGAGTCCTGCGGTATGAAGAATCACATGATATCTTTTTTTTTGGTCTTCGACTCGATCTGGAATGACGTCCCAAATGGGCAAGGGTCTGGGTTCCCAATAAGGTAACGGTTACCACAACAACGGACACTCCACTTTCTCCTTTTCTCCATCCCGCCTTTTCACTCTTATCAACATTCCAGTCCAATCTGTTCCTTGGTAACTCTCTGGCCTTTGACGTGCTGGTCAACCGTCAATTCTCCATTACAACCATCCCTGCCTTCATTCATCCCCCCTCGCAGCAATCTACACAACTCTATACCATTTCCGGAATCACCCTCACAAGCGTTCCATAACAAATCGAAAAGATGGTACGTGGCCCCCGTCCGATTGTTGCTCTGCAATCCCTTGGAATAGTGGCAAGAGAAACATGGCCAGCGAGGTGAAGGATGCCCCAAGAGCTTGCAGAAAGTGGTTGTTTACCTCCTACTGGATCCGGGGCGAGACCTCACTCGGTCCCCAATGAATCGATTGGATTGAATTGCCGCCCCTCAACCTCAATGCGCAATCCCTGGTTCGCCCTCTTCCGACCCATTCCATCAACAATCCTCCCCTCCTCATTCTCCCCATTATACCTGCATTTTCCATCTCCCTCATCCGTCACCCTGTGCTTGGAATCTTTTCTTTGGTTGAATATCGCATTTGGCGTTCAAAATGACTGGCTCACACAATAATTACGACGACCAGGCCTCCACCAACTACAAAGAAGCGTTCTCCCTCTTCGACAAGCGCGGCACCGGCAAGGTCTCCCTGGAGTCCCTCGGTGACCTTCTGCGCGCATGCGGCCAAAATCCTACTCTCGCTGAGATCGCCGATCTGGAGAAGAGCCTCGGCGGAGATTGTATGTCTATCCTTACCTTGCCTCGATCTTAGTGTATAGGGAAAATAAAATCTAATGAGTCACATGCGCATAGTCGACTTCGACTCTTTCGTGAAGGTCCTCAACCGTCCAGGCGGCTTCCGCGACCCGGGTGAAGCTGAAGAATACTGCCGCGGGTTCCAGGTGTTCGATAAGGATATGACCGGGTTTATCGGGGTCGGTCAGCTTCGATACAGTACGTATTAAGATGGCAGGACGTGGTGCAAGACGACCGCGATGCTAACCATGGGCAGTTCTGACGAACTTGGGCGAGAAGATGTCGGACGAGGAGGTCGATGAGCTTCTCAAGGCGGTTGATACCAGCTCGGGTGAGATTAACTACACCGGTAGGTTACTGAATCCCCAGGTACAGTCATAGAGACCGAACTAATGCGTGCAAATCTAGACCTCGTTCGCACCATTTTGGCCAACTGATGATTGATACACGATACCCTATGTTCTATGATATTATGAGAATCGCTCGAGGGGCGGAGTTGGGCTAAGTTTCAGTTCGTTTGTATTGTATATCGGGTTCATATGATATGGATAGCAATAGCAATGGTAGCATAGATATTTGCACAAATTCACACTAGTCCATATACGCTTTTGACTTGATGATACTTGATATGACGTAGAGCCGACAGAGGTCTATTTTTGCGACCATGTATATCCACCTAAAGAGGTAGAACGAACCCCACCACAATGGCGAGATCAAGTCTGAAACCAACCAGATAAGACATAGACCTCCTCTACAAAACGGCACGACTGCCCCCAATAACATAAAGTGATCCCCACACGCACATCCAGAAGTACATATGTACATCCAAGTGGCATACCATGCAAGGCTACCCAACCGACAAGAAAGTCTCTCATGCTATATCAGTCTCGCAACTTTTATATATTCCATCCTAAGTTATAAACGAGATATAACCCTTCAAGGTGATAGACAAGTCGTTCTCTTAAACTAATTGGGGTAGCTATCATTTCGGTTTAATTCTACGGATGTTTATTCCGCCAAATATATGTTTACTACATATTGTACTGAAATACCGATCCGAGCAAATAGTCAGGCAATACAACTTACCTAGAGGATTGAGATACAATACCATCTGCTATGTGAAATTTCATATGAAAATAGGAGGAAATAAATAAATAAAATATATAAAAATAAGTTGTAAACTAATGAGAATAATAAATAGCAAATAGAAAGAAAAAAGAAAAGAAAAGAAAAAGAAAAAGAAAACAGAGAGAGAGAGAGAGAGAGAGGAAAGGCATTGGAAATTTATTGATAGTAGCAAAACTAGTCCATATCCAGACAGAAATATACATACTGTCGCTTGAAGTGAACCCCAACATCAGAAACACCTGCAACTTAAGCCAAGACTACAAAGACTCAAACCATTTATTCCGACAAAGCCCTCCAGCAGCCTAAAGTTACAGTGTAGTAGTCATTAATGATGGATCTAAATCAACCTCTAGGCTTTGAGAGAGCCTAAAAGTGCAGTACGGTTTGGTTTGCAGGAAAGTACGTATTTTAGACGGTAGTTGTGGTTGACCTGGCCTGCACATTTTAGTGTAGATAATAATTTCCAACCAACTTCTCCTAGTGCCTAGAACTGACGTGTACTGGCTGCTAGAACTAATAGGGTGAATGTATCCAATCTGACCAGTGACTAGCCTATCCAGTGACCTAAAAGTGCAGGACAGGTCGGTGAGTGTACTGGCAGGTAGCAGGACCAGAGACTTGGCATTGCTCATGTATCTATCAGTGTGAATGTAAAGCCCTGGTCAACCTCTCCCGAGACCTAAAAGTGCAGTACAGACCCACCCATTGGCTATTTTATCCATCAATATGGATGATTTAACCTGACCATCCTCTCCAGGGCTCTAAAAATGCAGTACATGGCTGTGCAACTCCATCTTGGCAGCGATATCTAACCTTCATCCATCAATGTGGATGGTGAATCCTGAGCATCCTCTCCCAGGGCAGAAGTGCACTACAGGTTCAGATACGCTGGAAAATTAGACACACTGGATAGACACGCTGGATAGACAGGCAGTGCTAATTATTATGTTAACTGTAATGGGTCTAGAATTGTAATAGACCTGTTCTATATCTATTAGCGTGGGTGTGGGATTCTGAATATCCTTTTCCATACCTCAAAAGTACAGTGTAGGTGTATAATAGGGTTGTATTGAACCTCGATAAGTCTAGAAGTATGATAGAACTGACCTATAACTGGTAGCGTGTATAGGTTTCCTGACCTTTGTCTCCTAGAGACTAAAAATGCAGTGTCAAGGCTGACCATTCAGGATAGTTGTGAGATCTTGCCTCTCCAGGTAAAGGACCGTGAAAGTGAGGCTGATTAGGCATAGTATGACTCACCAATCAGGATAATCGTGAAATCTTGACTGTCCTCTCCCAGCGCCTAAAAATGCAGTGGCCCAGGCAGACATCGGCAGTGGCCCCAGGCAAATCGTCCAATATCACCTTACTTTTGGGCTCGACGCAAATATGATATACCTAACCTCAACTACTAGGGAGAGTTTTGAGTCAGATCTCCCAGGGCCTAAAAGTGCAGTGTACTCCGCAATGCAGCCCACAGGCCCATATAGCATGCTAAAAGCCCCGCTCTACACCAGTATGCCTAGCGTGGCAGTCCTGACCTCCATCTCTCTGAGAGACTGGAAGTGCAGTGTAGGGATTCACATCCCTGCACCCAAAATGTGGCAGTGCTGAGCTGTATCTATCTAAGTAGGATTGGGTTTAGATAGAACACTTTCATAAATCTTCTGCAGGAGATCTACATGTAGTGCTTCTGTTTCTGGAGAGATCTTGGACGCCTAGATTGTTCCTCTGGTACATACAAGGGGTTGTGTCGTATAGATAGATCTGTTAGCTTATTGAGCCATGTTTTGGAGAAATATACTGCGTGTTGTCCTACCTGATAATGCCAGGTAGTGAGTATAAGTTAGTCCTCTGATGTTCCTTAATAAACTGGCTTGACTGTGGAGGTAATATTGAGGATAGTGAATCTTTTGTTTTTAGAGCACTGTCTATGATATTGTGAAATCGATCTGGGGTACTAGTTATACAATTCCAGTTCGTGCATCCAGTCAATGAATTTATATTGATTAGAGATGTTGGTACTGTATGCCAGCAACACATTGCCCATGTTAATAACAGTGAAGTAACTCAAAGGCAAGGAATGTATAACTCAGTGGTATAAGACACCTCACGTATGAATAAACACGAGCCATACTCCATACACCACAAGTTAGGGATACACATGCATTCGTTAATCAATATACATTAAGATACACATACTAAACCTCCGCCTTCCACCCCCTCCACTCCTCATCAACCCCCTTCAACCTGGCCTCATCCCCCATAACCCCCGTCTCCACCAACGCCCCCGGAAGCAAATAAACAACCTTCTCCTTCCTTTCCCCCTCTTCTGCCTCCCCATCACCCCCAGAAGCAGAGGCAGCAACAGATGTCATTGGGAAAAGCACCCCATCCAAGAAATACCCCACAACAACCCGACACCGTCCACACCGCAGAAACAATCTCTTCTCAAAGCCGTCCTCGCGCCGTACGAGCGTCGCCTTGCGATCCGGTACCGTTGTCGAAAGGAGGATGGTGTAGTGTTCTTGTTGGTTGGGGGTTGAGTCCTCGGCGGTGCTTGATGTTGGGAGGGGGAGGATGATGGCTTTGTCTTGGGCTGGGTCTTTGCGGCGCGGGAGGGAGGAGATGTCGCGGGTTGTTGCTAGGAGGAGGTGATTGCAGAAGCGGCAGTGGTGGGTGTGGACTGGGAGTCGGTATTGTATTGTTGGCTGTTGTTGTTGGAAGGATTGGTCTTCAGTTTGTGATTGGGGGTCCTCCGGGGTGGACATTTTGAGGTTCTTTTTTGGGTGGTTGTGGTGTTTCTATTTCTGGCTCGGCTTTGGTATGGCTTTTTTTGTGGTGTGAGTTTCTGTTAATTGAGCGAGTAAATGGGTTGTGGTGTTAGTTTGAGGTGATTATAATGCTGGAGTGGAGATGTTGGTGGACGCTGAAGAAGAGCTTTTGGTGCGCCTTATCGATAAGATTGATCGGCGCGACGGAGCTACAATTTATACTGAGTATGTATGTATCTATTTATCCTGACATCTACTTGATCGTACAAACATTCCTAGCTCCTGTCTTCTTCTTTCAAACTTCATTATATTCTCTGAATCGTGTATATATCGCTAGGTATCAATATTAATCCTAAGCCAAGCCCATATCCTTGTAGAATGCATCGGTCTTGGGCTCACGGCCCAAGAATTCCGTCAAGCTCGTCATCTCGTCCTGGCTGCCTCCTTTCTCCAGGACCTGGTGGCGGTAGCGTCGGCCGGCAGTAGGGTTCATCGGGTCAGCCTTAAAGACGGTGTAGAACATATCGGTGGAGTAAACTTGGGAGCTGTTACATCATTAGCAAGAATGTTAATACCACAGGAAGGAATCAAGCAAGCGTACCTCAAGTATCCGTAGTAACCGGCATCGTAGCCACCGATCAAATGTCCGAAAGTCGCTTCACCGTGTCCCCATTCGTCGCCAAGGCCCAAGCTCTCCAGTCCGTCCATCTGGGTGATCTGCTTGCGCAGCTGGTTGTAGGTGGCCGAGATCGGCAGCTTCTCAATGTCCTCGTGGCTCTTGGGCTCGTGCACGGTCATATCGAAGATACCGAAGTGCAGCTGGCGCAGGTTGAACAGTGCATCATTGACATGCTTCGTCCGGATCAGGTTCTCAATCACCTCGTCGGGGATCTGCTCGGCCGGCTCGGGCTTGTCGCCGGCCTGTTCCTTCCACGCGGCGAGATATTCGGGTGACAGCGTCGAGTAGTGCTTACTGAGCGACTTGAGCTGTGATGGGGTCCAGCACCAGTTCTCCAGCATCTGACTGGGGGCCTCGACGAAGTCACGCACGGTGTTAGTTCCGTGGAACCGTGAGTAAATGGTCTTGGCCACGAGGTCATGGATACCATGACCCAGCTCATGGAACAATGTCACCACCTCGTCGTGCTTAAGTAGACTGGGTTTCTTCGGTGTCGGCTTAGTGAAGTTGCACACAAGGGCGGTGGCAGGATACCGGCGCTTGCCGTCCTTGTCGATAAAACCGGGCTGGAGGTTGAAGTTGGCCGCGTGGCCGTATTTGCCGCTTCGAGGGAAAAGGTCCAGATAGAGATAGCCGACAAATCCGCTACCCTCGCCCTCATCGTCCCAGACGCTGAAAATCTGCACATCCTCATGCCAGACAATGTCACTTCCCTTGCCAGAGGGAGCTACCTTAGCCCGGTCATCACTGGTGATCTCTACGAACACCAGGCCGAACAATTCCTCGAAGATCTTCAACATGCCCTCAATGGTAGTCTGGAGAGGGAAGTATTCAGCAATCTGTTGCTGGTCCAGCGAGTAGTTCTTCTCCAGCATCAAACGATCGTAGAACCGGTGGTCCCACAGATAGTACTTGCCGTCAAAGGACTCGCCACGAGCTTCAATATCATCCTTCTTCAGCTCCAGCAGACTCCTGATCTCCTTCTGGCCACCGGCTGTCAGGCGACTTCGCAGATCTCCCAAGAAGGTGTCAACTGTCTCTGGTGTCTTGGCCATCTTATCCTCAATGCGGAATGCTGCGTGGTTCGGGTATCCCAAAAGCCGAGCAGCCTCATCGCGCAGGACAATGGCCTCCCGGAAGAGAGGTACGTTCTGGTTGCACTTGTTCTCGTTCTGGATCATCACCTTCTTGCGAGTCTCGGGGTTCTTGGCATACTTCATAGTCGGGAAAAGATCGGGATACTTGAAGGTCAGCCAGAGCTTGCCGGCGTTCTCTCCCTCACCCTTCTTCAATCCTGACAGCACGTCTTCCGGCACACCGCCCAGTTCTTCGGGGGTAAACCAGAGACCCTCGTTCTCTTCATTCAAGTTCTTCTGGAACTCAATGCTGATCTGACTCAGACGTTTCTTGATCTCCTTGAAGCGGTCCCGCTTCGGTCCGGCGGGGAGACCCAGCCCATTGCGAATGTAACCCTTGTGCTCCTTCTCTAAGAGGCGACGAGATTCAGGGTCAAGAGTTTCGTTCTTGTTCAGCACGGCATCCACAAGCTTGAAAACATCCTCGCGCATGACTGTTTCGATGAAGAATTCGTCCAGCTCTGCCTCGGCCTTGGATGAAGCATCGCGTAACTGCTGTTCGGTCGAGACCGCCTGGTAGAAGCTGAGGATGTGGGCTTCCAGAGCCATGGTGTTCTCGTCATGGGCCAGCGGCTTGAGCACCGAGTCGAATGTAGCCGACTCAGGCTTCACATTGGCGACAACCTCATCCTGGACCTTGCGGGATGCCTCAATGAGGCGTTTGGCATCGTCAACGATCGACTGAGCGGTTGCTGTGAAGACCGGTGGGGCCTGAGGAGGGCGGCGGTAGTGTTCTGGAGCCATACTCGCGGTGGTGAGGGATTTCCGGAGGTTCGTCAGCGCCGTAGGGGATAGTGTAGGTGTAGTCAGTCGTGAGCCACGGAGATGGCCCAATACCGAGGAGAGTCTGAAAGTGGGGGACGAGAGGCGGAGCGGAGGAGCCACGGTGATGAGTAGAACGCCCACAAACAGGACGAGGGCGTGTAGAAAAACGGAGCGAAAGGCGGGAATGGTGGGAGGGGTAGAAATTGGAGAGGTGGGGTAAGAAGAATTGATTCAAGCAGAAGAATACGTGGCTTTGCAGTGGTGATGCAGAACTGATAGTGACCTGCAGTCTATGGTTGTATTTACTTGGTCACTGGAGTTGGACCCGCGCTAACGGCAAGCTAGTAAACTGTGGAGCTGGTGCGATGCCAGGTGACTTTTCTCTCCCACCGCAAAATTGAACTTCAACTTTAAATAAGAAAGGAGTCCTCTAGGATGATGAATACAATAGAAAGGACGGTCTACCAAGATCTACGGTAATGTGCACAATATATCAGGTGGATATCATCATCTATTTTCGTTGAACACGTAAGTATGTTCTGACCCTGTCGCTTTTATAAAGGACGCGAATAAACCTCGACTCAATCAAGTCTCTCGTCATCTTGCTGCTAAACCGAAACCCAACTCCGAATCCCATACAATTAAGTGTTGTATAATGAACGCCCATGGTGCTAAATAAAGACATGACCCGTGGAGAAAAAAGAATGCAATATCAAGACAATCATACATCACAGGAAAGTATATAAATAGCGACTTCATGCTGCATCGGCAGTGGGAATAGGTTCGGGAATCTTCGTAACCTGTTCACCAGCGCGGATGACCCGCTGACCGGTGCTGTCACGGACGTAGTCGCTGCTCTCCTTCTGAGAGCGCTTCCAGATCTCGACTTCACAGCCACCGCGAATGACACCAACCCGCATGGTTGAGAGCAGGTTGTGCGCAGCGTTGGAGTGATAATAGACACCTCCGTTGAACATGGCGGTGGCGTCCTTGCCGATACCAGAGTTGATCATGGCCTTGCCACCAGGGTGGTCCTTGATGAAGTCAGTCACATCGTGAACAACACCGGCAATGGCAATAAGACCACGGCCATTCTTGGCCTGCTCGACGTAGTCGTCCCACTCCATAACGGGAAGCTGGTCGAGAGAAACACCCCAGTCCAACTTGGCACGCTTCTGGTCGATCTTTTTCTGGAGCTGCTGAACACGGCCCTTCTCGATCTCGTTGGCACGGAATTGCTTGAGGTCATAGGCGAGGCCGAGCTGCTTCCAGATCCAGATGCTCCACTTGGTGGGATCATACTGGTGCCATTCAATGGCATTACGGTAGTCAGAGGGAAATTCGTGGTGGAAGTTGTGGTATCCTTCACCGAGGGTGACAAGGGCAGTGATAACGTGGTCGCGAGGAGAGTTGCGGTCATCAAATGGCTGGTCACCGAGCCAGTGAGCCAAGGAGTTGACGCAGAAAGTTGCCTGCTGGACGAAAAAGATACGCAGGATACCAGCATAGACGAAGCCGCCCCACCAGTCACCCCAGCCCAGACCAGCCACGAGCATAGGCACAAACAGACCCATGGTGAAGACGACCTTGAGGTAGTTCCGGTGTTGCCACACCACGACGGGGTCTTCGTTCAGATCGGAGATATCGGTACGGCCAATACGCTTGGGGTTCTGCTTCATCACCATCCAGCCAAGGTGGGAGTAGAGCAAGCCCTTGCGGACTGAGTAGGGATCCTTTTCGGTATCGGTATAACGGTGGTGAGCGCGGTGGTCACGAGCCCACCAGCGGATAGAACCTTCCACGGCACCACCGCCAACAGCAGCGAGCCAGATACGGAGGGGAAGACGAGCGGAATAGGAGCAGTGAGCCCACAGACGATGGTATCCTGTATCGAGCAATCGTTAGCTTTCCGTGTCCTGAATAATTATCCCTGCCAATCGGGGCAAAACCTACCTGCGGTGATACCCAGTCCGGTGAAGAAGTAGTAGATGACGGCCCAGATGGCGGTCTTGAGCTGCAGAGGCACCCAGAGAGCCTGGACACATCCATACACAGGAATACCGATGATAAGGAACACGTTCAGCCAGTTGACATGCTTGTGCCAGTTGCTCCGTGTCATGGCAGTGTCGGCAATGTGAACCTTCTTGATGTCACCAGCACGAGGCTGGGTAGCATCTGCCGTCTTTGCAGACATGATGTCGGTGCTTTTTCGTCTTCTCTTAAGACCTCCGATATGCCCGAACCAAGACGAGGCAACTGTCGACGGTGACGGGTGCCCTCTTGATAGATGAAAGGGTTAAGGTGGTGAGGTGGAGAGAGAAGAGGAGGACTATTTAAACGGAGGCAAGAGAACCGAGGAAGAAAAAGCGATGGAAATAAAAGAAAAAGGGTGGGGAAGCTCCGGTAGGAGGCGAAAGAAGAAACGGCGAATGAGTAAAAAATTTGGGAGCTCTTTTACTTGCACACCCCAAGGGGTTCCACCGGTGGATGGCGGTTGGGGAAAACAGAAGAACTGCAAGGCCAGGCAATAATGATGCTAAGCTGAGCGATCGACTGGAAGGATGGAAGAAACAGGAAAAGAGTGGCCTGACAGGATACGTTTATCATTCATACCTCACTGTTAAATCAATTGATCATAAGCTTCCGAGGTTCATGACTGCGTTCAGCGTTCAACAAAGCCGGACCTCCAGCATTGCTGATATCTATGTAAGGCCACCAGGGACGAGGCCGAAGATTCAATTGTCCTGCCAGTAAGCTTGTTGGGCCGCCTGTGATTCGATGGCGAATGTCGGCCAGGCTCTGCTGCTTCGGGTTAGTCCGGCTGGTTTGGGCCAATCGCTACCAATTCGCCATCTGTTGAATCCCCAACAATTTTCACATTTTTGCAGGCGGTAAGGCCGGGGATGGGTCTGATTGGTCCCATCTGACTGAACGACAGCTAAACTTTGAATCTCACCTCGCATCAACGGCTGCGTTCTCCGCATGCTAGAAGCCTTCCCGAACTGTGATTACAATATCCAAACACTTAAACTGTTCAGAGTGACAGCAGCCACTGGAAGGATTTCACCCTCCCGGTCATTTGGGGTAGTAAGACGACCGTAATTACAATCGAGATGACTTAACTGGAGACGCCGAGGCCCCAGGATATTAACGTAGTTTGAGTATGTACATACATCATCCGAATACGGTATATCCGATGCAGCCCTACGAAAGTGTTCTTCTTGCCACTTCGTGGTGGCGACGGACCTGTTTCTTCAATGAAAACTTTGACTCCTTTGTACCGCGATCTTCCATGCACCACGCCTTCGTAAACTACTAACTTCCAGACAACTTCCCAGCGGTCAGTAGATTTGAGAGTTGTTGAAAACGAGTCCGGTCGCCGATAACTAATCGCAGATATAATCTGTGGTTACGGATGAGTCTAAAATGTTCCGGCCATGGTTTGCTATATATAGCGCATGTCTAACACGTTTTTGCTTGTTTACTATATTCACTCATTAAAGACCATAGAATTGTCTAGCCCCCGTAGAACCAGATGACTATGAAAGTCGCCTTGTAGGGCTTGCACTGTATGTTGAAATGGCGTTCGACAGTTAAGGGAGCTTTCATGGTGACATACTACGACCCCAGATCTTTACCAAGATCGCTGCTGGCATATCTGAGGAGATAACAGCCACTGATGTTCTCCATATTTCCATACGTTAGTGTCTCATACCAGACGTTGAAGTTCCTGCAGTTGCAAACCGCGTTCCTTCAATTAAGGTACACTTGATGGCCACCGACGAACGTATACTCCACAATAATATGGGGACTGGTCCCAGCACTAACTACCGTTATTCGGATCAAGGTTGAACATTGAAACGCTAGACTCTGGATATCCCTTAGTCAACCCTCACAGTCACACACTCGATAATACTACTACTGTTTAGCAGAATTTATCCCATAAGGAAAGACGACTAATTCCCCACTTTATCCAAAAACCGATGTAACCGTCCAGAAATGGCCCGTAATCGCCTAATCTGGTAAGGTGCATCCTGCGTAGTCATCCACGCCCTTTCCCAGTGAACCCGCAACACATCAGCCATCCCAAGACCTTGCAGCAAAGGGATAATGTCTATTCCAGGTCGACAGCTTGATCGTGAACACTTCGGCTGCTTGCTATCAGCTCCCCCAGATTTTAGAGGAATTCGGCGGTGCCCGTCTAGGTCACTGATAAGCAGGTTGACCTTTCCCGTGCTCAGGATGGGTTAAGAGGCTGTCCTTATCTCGGCTCCACTTGTGAAGCCAAGGATATGCACAGGCCAAGTTCTTGGGATTGATGTTTGGAGATATTGACTACGGTCACAAATTGGGGCTTTGCATTGATTACATTGAATCGTAGCCAACGAGCTTGTGGGGTGGTAATTCATTCTATATTTACACCGTAGCTTTAATTTTATTATTTCCTTTTCGTAAAAAGGGGACGAAAGAAGAGAAAGCCAGTAAGTTGGCAGTAACATAGTGGCTGATGCTAAACGACAAGATGAATGAATCAGTGGATCTGTGCGTAAGACAGTGTTTATGACTGTATTCTGTAATTGTTGGCTGCTCAGTACATTCAACTACTATTCAATGTACTGGTTCAATCCCTGTACTTGCTGACAATGTGATTGTCAACCCACCCAATCGTCTTCTACTTTGTGGCAACTACTAGTTCTTTTGTCATGTATGTTTGGTTCTCTAACCGTTTGCATTACTCCGTACTGTTTGTCTCAAAACCTGAAGCCGGAATGACTCGCGTCCCTCCCCGAGGTCTCTCCGAGTTCTCCCTTGCGAGCGATTGGCGCCAAGGGACTAAACCCTCTAGCTGGAGTTGTCCTTGATAGATAACCAACTTTATTTATTAAATTATTCGATTGATTGACGCATCGTGCTCGTCACTTATCGATAATCCGTATCGCTTCGTCGTCGGAAATTTGCACAAATCTGATCGCGCTTCTCCAGAGATGCTGTTGTCTACATCTCACTACCAGGTCCTTCGAGAGCTTTTGGGAACTTAAAACTCGTGGTTCCCCGCGATCTTGAATCGAGATATCAGTTTCAATCATCAATCATACCCTGGTTCACGAGACCTTCTCCCCGCAGTTGTGCGTTATACGGAAACGAACCCTACCTATTTGCGGAAACTTGCCTCGATCGCGATCATTGCCGTGTTTCCTTTGAGAGAGAAGATAATTGTCCAACCGCGAAACATTTCTAAAGCACTCCAACATGGATGGACCAGATCAGATTGGTCCTGACCTGCGTCCCAAGCGAACTTGGGCCGATAAAGGCCGTCGGATTGTCAAAACCTTCACCACGAGGTACATGATTACTATCGGATACCCTATATAACTTTCAACATGAATCTAATCGATTCGTCCACAGGGATGGCTTAATAGGAGACTACGATTATGCATACCTTTTTACACCCAGAATTCCTTTTATGAAGCAAACGAGGCGAACGGCACCTTTTTTTGGACTGGATGATCGAGTACCGGTTTTTCTGGCTCTTCTTTTGGGCTTACAACATGCCCTAGCAATGTTGGCTGGAGGTTGGCATATCGTCTTATTATAGCGCGGAGGGTGTAATACTAACTTCGTCAGTTATCTCGCCCCCAATTCTCCTGGGTGGTTCTTCCGGAGCCAACTTTGGAGATGAAGACTACCAGTACCTAGTGTCGACCTCTCTGATTGTATCTGGGTTACTGTCCGCCCTTCAGATGTGCCGCGTTCACATCTATAAAACGCCTTACTCGATCGGTACGGGCCTGATCTCAGTCGTGGGTACCTCGTTCGCAATAATTACAGTAGCGTCGGGCACTTTCACTCAGATGTATTCGTCCGGATACTGTCCCGTTGATGCCCAGGGCAACCGTTTACCTTGTCCGAAGGGCTATGGAGCTCTCCTCGGCACCTCCTGTCTATGCTCTTTACTCCAGATCGGCCTTTCATTCATAAGCAGCAAGGTCTTGAAACGCGTCTTCCCACCCCTGGTTACTGGACCAACTGTCCTCCTGATTGGAGCATCCCTTATTGAGAGCGGCATGAAAGACTGGGCGGGAGGCTCAGGCGGCTGTGGCAGCGACCCCTCCGCCCGTGCCCTTTGTCCCAGCGCAGATGCACCGCACGCTCTTCCCTGGGGTAGTGCAGAGTTTATCGGTCTCGGATTCTTGGTCTTCTTGACCATTATTCTGTGCGAAAGATTCGGCTCCCCCATCATGAAATCTTGCGCCGTTGTCATCGGTTTGCTGGTCGGATGCATTGTGGCAGGAGCATGTGGCTACTTCGACCGCTCAGGCATTGATGCAGCTCCAGTAGCGTCTTTTATCTGGGTCCGGACATTTCCCCTAACCATATACGCGCCGCTTATCCTCCCCTTACTAGCCGTCTACATCGTGATCATGATGGAATCAATCGGCGACATCACAGCCACATGCGACGTTTCCCAAGTGGAAGTGGAGGGGCCCAACTTCGATTCACGTATTAGAGGTGGTGTCCTGGGCAACGGTATCACCTGTCTCCTCGCAGGCCTATGCACCATCACGCCCATGTCCGTGTTCGCCCAAAACAACGGTGTCATCGCTCTGACGAAATGCGCAAACCGCAAGGCCGGATACTGCTGCTGCCTCTTCCTCATAATCATGGGCATCTTCGCCAAGTTCGCTGCCGCACTCGTCGCCATCCCCAGTTCTGTTCTCGGTGGTATGACCACCTTCCTCTTCTCGTCCGTCGCTATCTCCGGCATCCGTATCATTTCCACCATCCCGTTCACACGTCGCAACCGTTTCATCCTCACGGCTTCTTTCGCCATCGGTATGGCTGCCACGTTGGTACCAGACTGGTTCCAATACTTCTTCACCTACAGCGGTGATAACCACGCCCTGCAAGGGCTTCTGGATGCTGTGGTGCTCGTTATGACCAACGGGTTTGCAGTCACCGCTGTGTTGGGTTTGATTCTCAACCTTCTTATCCCAGAAGATCCAGAGGAAGAAGCGGCCATCTTGGACGCCAGGGGTAGCGAGGTCCGGAGTGAGAGCGAAGAGACGAAGACCACTTCAGAGTCCCCGCACTGTAAGACCGAAGAGGTTGGTCCGGCTACAGTATAATAATGGTTTTGGCTTTCTACTATTATATAACGACCCTTGAGAGGGTCTAATTAAAGGATACCCTAGTGAGTTGCACATATCGTGACTCAGATGACCTACAATTCGAATCATGTTTCACTTCCAAATTAGTACGTATTCGTAAATATATATACTTTGTAAATGATATCATCCAGCTAGTAGCATATAATGAAAAAGTATGTAGACAACACCAACCCCCCCACCCAACCAACCAGAATAACCCAGTCCAAGACATTTATACAAGAGAAATGAAATATATACCTAAACCCCTTCCACCTTCTCCCCAGGCTTCAACATCTTAATATAGCAATGCTCCCCCGTCTCCAGCACCTCAATCCCACCCCCAACACAAACCCTAAACTCTACACAAATCAGCCCAAGACCCTAAAACCAACGACATCAACCCAAAAAGAAAAAGGAAAAGAAACATACCTCGAACAGCAGGAACAGCCTGCATGCCCAACGCAGCATTAGTCAAGTCGCCACGATCAATCCTCCTCCACATCTTCAACGTCCGATCCGGCTCCGCAGGATGCCTAACCCCAGTATCAGGGTCTACATTTGGCAACTTACACCGAATAGTCCGGCAAGCAGTGTAGACCTCCACACCCCCAGACCCAGGTTCTGGGCCATAGATCCTCACCCGTTTCCAATGATCCTCCTCATAAGCCCCAGGACCTTGGACGATGATATTCGCCCGAAAGCGACGGATACTGAGCTCAGGGATGTCCGTTTTGCATTTACTCGCTATATCCTGCACGCTGGCTATATTGAGGAGGTGGATGGGGTAAGCGTCCGCGAAGCCCGTTACTGGTTGAAATCCTATGTCTTCTTTGCGGGGCGCGTTGCGGAAGATTTCTCTGTGGTGGGATGAGTTTACCCTAAAGAGGGTCAGGGGACCGCGGGTGCGGTCAGGGTCCAGGAAACGGTGCAGTGATGGTGGGAGGTGACAGCCGTAGTCGTGAGCTAGGGGATTGTCTTTCCAGATCTTGACCGGGGTTAATGGGTAAGTTGACTTGAGATCTGAGTCTTGTGGGGGAGAGAAGGGGACACGGAAGGATAGTTCCTTCGAGAGGAGGCCTAGCATCGTGCCCAGTTTCACGGCAAGTGAGAGAATACCGGCCGTGACTCGCGGGTAGTGGATTACCAGGACGCCTTGGGATCGCACTTCATGAAGCTCGGGGGAGTAGTCCTCGGATGTAGGGTCGGGGACCCAGATCTCGGGTCTGATGAGAGCCATTCTGCAGAGCGAGCCGTCACGGAGCGTCCTTGCTGTCCAGTGGGCCTGTTGAGACTCATTGGTGCTGGTTTTGGGGGTGATGTATTCGGCGAAGCAGAATTGGCGGTCATAGGTGAAGCCTGTGGGGACGACGTCGGCTGTATCTAGCTCAAGGCCGGCGCAGCTTTTGATTGGGTATGCGAAGAGCGCTTTTATCCGCCATGCGGGCTTGTTCTCTGAGTCTGTATGCTTCTCAGGCACGCCTTGGCTGTATTTTGGGTCGTACTCGTCGTGCAGGTTGGTTTCGTTGTGTGGGAGACCTAGCTTGCGACAGCCTTTGGGTGGTGGGTTTGTGAATGGCCAGTATTTGTGAGAAACCAGGAATATGATTATGGGGATGAGAGGGAGCCAGATAACGGCTAGAGGTGGGTTTGTGTTCATAGCATAGTGGCGCACGGTGTTGAAGCCGAGTATGGGTTCAGTGTAATTCAGCATTGAATCACGAGTCTGTGATTTTGAAAGGAAAATCAGTATACCATACGTGTTCCCTAAGGAAAGTATATAGTATAAAGTGACGATAAACTTTAAGGTTAACTACGTTGGACAAGAATAAAGCCCGTATATCAGATGCCGGGGAAAAAGATGATGATCTTCGGAGATTAGATCTGATCACATTTATTTTTAACTCCGACGTTGAACTAATTTAATCCGAATTGGCAATTCCCCATGAACGAAGCCTCGCAGTCATCAACCACCACCGTCGGTAGTTGCTAGACTCAGGATGAAGTTGGAGCATACTGTGACACCAAAATGAGAGGTCGACAGTATTCTAGTGTTCCGAAGCGCGCAATTAATACCATTTGATCCCAACAGGCCTGACGCGCCGGGTTCGCGTTTGCCGTCACCATGAACCAGCAGGATTACCTCGGCCTTTCCACTCAGGAGCCTCGTAAGTCCTTGTAAACTAATTCGGACAAGATTGATAGGTTAATGATACGTGCAGATCGGGTTGTCTCCTTTCCTGCGTCGCAGTCTCTGCACGCGTCTGCCGCGTCTGCCGCAACTGCCTCTGGCGCTATATCGACGGGTATTCCTCAATTAGATGAGGCGATCCGTCCGCCTTCCGCGGAGGATGTACTGGGACATACCAGTGCCATAAACTCCAATGGAATACCATGTGGACATGTTACAGAGGTGTTCGGCCCCCCTGGGGCTGGGAAAACGTCACTGGCGTAAGGCCCCATCTCTGCCTGTCGCACGTTGGTATTGATTTAACAATGTATCTCTAGTCTGAGCGTTGCCACATCGGCCCTCCAGAATGGAGACAAAGTGATATGGATCGGTACGAAACCAAACTCACTGAGAACTGGCTCTAACATTTCTAGATACGGGATCTCCACTCCCGAAAGTACGCCTGGCAAGCATGCTGAAGAAGTTCCCTGATGCCACATCTTCTGATCCACCAGAAGACCCTATCAGGAATTTGATCTACTTCCATGCAAGGTCGCTACCACATCTACTAGCTCTCCTCATCCGCCCACCCAAGGGCTTCCCTTCAGAAGATGCGAAACTTCTCGTCATCGACTCTGTATCAGCGTTATTCCCATCGTACTTTCCCAATCCATCTGAGTTCAAATCCCGCCTACCCCAGTCAGGAATCACAGACAAGACGCAGATCCAATGGCTCATGAACCGCAAATGGAATGTCACAAGCGACCTTGGCAACCAGCTCGTGAAACTGGCAGCTACACATCGCTTAGCCATACTTCTAGTAAACCAGACGCATACCCGAATCAGGGGCCAGCCGCGGGCAACTTTATGTCCGATTCTGGCGGGCGGAACATGGGAGAACAGCGTCCATGTAAGGGTTGCCATCTTTCGGGACTTTCTTCCTGAGGACGAGGGGAATTCGAAAGGTATTCGATTCGCGGAGGTAATGAAGAGAGCAGGGAAGACTTTATCTTTGAGATTGGACGAGAATATCGTACCATTCAAGATTGAGATGGTAGGCTTGGATCATTTCTCGTGCAGCACTCACAGATGGCTCACATTAGTGTATAGGATGGTTTACGTGGGATAGACAAGACTCCGTCTCCAATGATCTTGCCTCAAGAGCCAGTTGAAACAAGCTTATCGGCTAGCCAACGGAAACGCAAAGTCGATGAGATTGCGGATAGTCAGGATGAAGATTCCGATGAAGAATTCGGCTGGGTTGAAGGGGATGATGCTGGCTTGAGTGACAGGGCTAGCTGAGACTTAGATTGCATTGGTGTTATGGCCGTCATCATACTAAGACCAAGCATATGAAACAGCTGCTTCTTGGACAGCTGAATCTTTGTAGCTGCAAGTGTTCATGCGGGTTGTAATGGGTGTAAATTATGATAAAATGAAGATGTATGAAAAATAAATAGATAGTTCCCTCAGGGGGGGCGTCGTTTAATCAAATCCGACACCTTCACAATAAATTTTCTATCTGGACATCCATCGTTCTGTGATGTATGTAGTCGTTTTGTCCCATCTTGAACAATATGAGAGAAGTTTATATTATCCAGCAGACCAGACGATGACGCCGGCGCAGTCGGACTAGATTCATGCTGTAGAGAATACAACTCTATGTCATTTCCCAACGTACCCGGACGCCTGTGCCCATGAACCATATCGACCAGTTTCCCGAGAACCGCAAACTCCAACTTAAGTTTGATGCTGTATATGACACCCTTGAGCGTGATCTGAATGGCGTAGAAGTTGGCATACTCCAGCCCAAGAAGGGCTAAGTCCATCACAAGAATGGCAATATTTATTCCTACTAACTGGTGCATTATTCTTCGGTTTTGTCGGTTCGAACCCAACCGAAGTAGTTTGGTTGTTTCCCAGATATAAAGCCCTGAGATTATCACCTCCTGTAAGGTGAACCCGGTCATCTGGATTTTTTCCATGATGTTATATCCTCTGACGAATAAAGGTGATCGATCGGGTACGTTGGAACCATATGTCAAGACGGAGGTAGGTATATGCAAAAGAAAGAAATTTGCTATGATCATGCACAGCACACGGCGAAGTATGTACTCGTCGCGGATGACAAGATGTAGTCGTGAATAGAGAACAAACGACTGGCCTGTCACCATTGTCCACCAGCCGACGGTAAGCAATGTAACAGACAAGAAAGAACTGGCGTGTGTGAAGAACTTCAACATGAAGCCGAGCGAGTATGGAACTACCCCCAAGCAGCCCGAAAGTAGCAAGCTCCAGAAGTATAGACCTGCCCAACGACGGAATGTCGACAGCACAAGGATTACCAGCTCGATTACATTGTAGATGGAAATGGAGATGAAAAAGACAAGGGTCGCTTTGAGCCCGTATCGAGCGCCCGCAAGCTCACCGGAAATGCCATCAAGATGGCTCACAATATTTGACATGATGCGGTGGTATATGGTGATGATGATCGGACGATCTGGGCTAGCAGTAATGTGGAGAGGCTACCACAGACTTCCCAGTGATTTTCCTTTATTTTTTTTCTTTTAGATTTTTTTTCACTTCTTTTCCCCCTCGGCCAAGAAATGTTATACGTCAGACCAACATCCGAGGTAATGAGCGGAAACCATGAGCGTTAAAAGAGCGGTGCATGTGGGAATAGAGCGATTGTTAACTGGTGAACCGTATCATATCGAAGTTATGTGAAAGCTCTGAACAAGTCTTTCCCTCCTCCCACATAAAGGCATTGTGTGGCCAAGATTAGCTCGAGGCAACACCCCGGAATGAAGCTGGGGCTAAGATTCAGTGGCTTCGTATTCCGCAGGAACTAACGATGCCTGTTAAGGTAGTATTCGGTGTTGGTTGACTTGGCAAAGGCAAGACTAGCAGACTAGTACCGTACACCTGGTACGATTCTCGGCGTTTCCCCGCGGGACATAACAACGTTCGCTGGTAAGGTAGCGTTGCCTAACAAGAAAATCCAGATGGCACAATTGATACGCCAATGGACCCCTAATCACGGGACATCACAGGGTTAGTTTTGTGGCGTAACACATGGTTGACATACTATTAGTACCCCAGTTACCATCTATATGCACAAGAACTGGCTCTCGGTCATATTGAATATGTCCTTGTGATGTACAATGCTCTTTCGCCTTGGACAACACGAGGAGCAAGTTCATTGTGGCAGTCGATTTCAGCTGATAGTATCACAGAAACCTTTGTTCCAAGTCCTACCGGTATTATGATCCCAAGATATGTGGCAACTTAGTCCCCCTTGGATCTCCATCCCTGTCATGCCCAACATTTCCCGTGTTTAATTAGAATTCTCAAGCGTCAGATACTTGGGAAAATTTGTCTTACATCGGCACAGAACTGGCATGGAGGACCGGCACAGATTGCGTGTTTTTTGGCACAAGGAACTCACACATTCGATTCAGGACATAATGTTCAAATGGCTAGCCCATGCCATGGAGTTCTTATTCTTCATAAGGCACAGGATTAGCTGTAGTCTTTGTCGGAGCTTCAATATCGCTGAGATCTGTCTGGTTGGAGATGATTGGGTCCTTTAGCCCTTTATCTTTCATTACTCCGTTGATTTTTGGACCCTTTGCACAACGCTAGCGACAGAAGCAGCCACACTCAAAAGATTCTGGAGTTTGGATATGTGTTGACTTCCTAATAAATGTCCTCGCTTGCTGCTTATTAAATGTCCAATGGAAAGATTAGGTTATTTTACTTATTGGCAAAGAATATCATTTGCTCAAAAAGGCACCTACCATAGATCCGACTGCCTCGATACATCCATCATACACCGTACAGTAGCCGCAGACCTTGATCTATTACTAGTTGCCCCTTATGTCGTGTAATACTAGACGAGCCTTCATCTAATGTCTTGCAAACTCCCATAACTATGCGGTTTATCTGATATCTACACTTCGTGTGTGCATTCCGTCCATTGTCTTGAACTTTCTTGTTGTGCTATGCCGATGGCTTTGCACCCAGCTGTAAACGTCGGCCAAACAAAAAGATGTTTGAATTTTTATTATCACTTGCTTCGGTATCCTGTCGTTGGCCAAAAAAGATCAAACCGCATCCCCTAGATGATCTGCACGTCTCTGCAGCGTGCAAATATCCTCGTAATGTTAACCCTCATGGAACGTGATTTATCTATTAATTTGATGATTCGACTGGTCTGTAAGACTAAGCTGGGCAGTCTCTCAGGGATATCATAGAAAACATGATACATATTCTCAGCGCGCAAGCGTGGGCGCTTCATGGGATTTCCCTTTATATTGACATGGACTTAAGTCATCGGGTGCAACACTTGCCTGGTTCCGGCCGGCCTCAAGAGCGATGGGAGAACCCGGAATGTCATAATCTCAACAAATCGGGACCTCATTCCGGACGTCTGCGGAACAGTGAGTTAAGAGAAAGGAGAAGTGCAGGTCAAGGGCAAGAAATAGATAAGAGAGTGGAGAAAGGGCTGTTGAAGCCAGTCTTAAAATTCTTGCATGTTTTGGGAAAGCCAGAAGAGGAGTGCCCGTTCCATAGCCTGCGGCAGACCGATTCGTCAATATCAGAAGCCTAGGCCGGCGTTGTGATAAGGACTTGAAAGAGATATAGACAATATTATCATAATACTACTGTTCAGCTGTCTATTTCCTTGAACGATAGGAAACTGCAACACCGGGGCTCCTTACACCTCACTGGAGACGCAAAGAGAGAACGGGACCTAATTTCTACGTCCATATCACACTTTTCAAACCAATAGATGAGCTCAGTTCAGTCGTTTGCCCACGAATTACCCTAGACCTCCGAACTAGGGAAATGTGGGGTTGGCAGCGGGCCACTCCCCGGAATGTCCTTGGCCACATTTGGGTTAAGTTTGATAGCCAGTTCTTACACTGAAGTTATGCAACCCCGTTAGAGCCAAAGCTCTACAGACTCTGTGAGGCTACAATCCTGCTGTGCTAGAGCTGAATTCAGAGTATTGAGTACGATGGCTATTTTAATGATGGGCATTATTGGACAGTGTGACACGTCCACGTGCACTGTCACTTGAGTTGTCCAGGGTCATAAAGCTCAATATCCTCCGGTGCGTTAAGCAAGTAATCGTCGTGGAAAATCTTTGCTAACATGTATGGGAACCTCGCAAGTCTCGACATATGTCTATTATGCTACAAGGCCCAAACCGCCCAATATCTCCATACTTGAATCGTTCATAGATTGGTGAGATAATCCTCGATTTCCTCTTTCGTCAACTTCCTAAACCTGGGCCCCTGGGCACCTTCGACACCCTCAAAGCCCAGCAGGTGGTCGGCAGGAGGGCCAACGATACCTATACCAAGTCAGTCTGGGCCCAAACCTGGGCAATGAGGTTATTGAAACTCACCAATCTCTATTGTGTCACCGTTCATCTCACCCTCGATGGTCTCTTTCAACGTCAAAAGGGCAATATGGATAGCATCTTCGAGTTCGAGACCTTCAGTGTAACGCTTTTCAAGGAATGTCTTCGCACTCGTAGCATGCTTGCCAATAGCCGTAGCCTTCCATGGGTAATAACTGCCACTTGGGTCGACCTGATACAAGCTCGGGCCACCCTTCAAGATACCACCCGTCTTGCCGGTTGCCTTTTTAGGCTCGTCTTCACGGTCACCCCTCTGAGCTTCTCCTGACTCAGGTTCGACACCCTCATCCCAACCGGCGATCAACAAACTGACACCGTACGGTCGAACACCACCGGACTGGGTGGCCTCTTGCACGACACGCGCAACATCTTGCACTAATATACGGGTAGGGGGGTATTCGTTATAGATACGCTTGTAGCCAGTGTGGGAAACTTTGCGTGCCTTGTCGACCAGCACACGGTAGTCTGGACCCATTCCCGCGTACACCATGCCAATGTCAGGAGTGATTAAGGAGACTTTGGAAAGAGAGGGAGGATCGATGAGTGGTGAGGATGATTTCTTTTCAGTAGCGAGGACGATTCCATTTGTTGCTAGCCAATGCAAGATAAGTTAGCAACTACATGGGCTGGCTGGGCGGAAGCTATGAGATAGCGCTCGTACCTTTAATTCCGAGCGCAGTTACGCCCTGGTTGACAGCGTTCAAGGCATATTCTGAGTTTATTCAGCAAATGTTCATAATTAACTAGAGCCGGGTTATTACCAATTTGGACCAGCTTTCCACTAAAAGTCAATGTTAGCTGATGGTTGTCCTCTATGTAGCTAGAGCTCGTCTTACCTGGGGGAGAAGGTGGTGAGAGAGAACGAATAGCGGTCCGCCATGAGGTCGTCGAATTATCTCCGCAAGCTTTGAAAATTGATTGAAAAGGAGTATGGAGACAGACGAGGGGGTATGAAGATAGGATAAAGTCGTGATGGGACCAAAGTGAAGCTTCCCTCTGGACAGCGCAGGCGACAGGATGTTGACGCAGCAGCACCTTACCTAACGTCGGTTACCTCAGGCGTCGATGCCAAGCCGCGCCTAAGGCGGTGACGCTAGGCGAGCACTTAGCGCCGTTTCCATCAGCTTCTCTCTCCACTCCACCTTTAAAGCGTGATAGTCCTTTTCACACTCTTTTCCGTCTTTTTTTCCTTTGCTCCCTCCCCATTCTTCCCCCGTGTTCTATACCTATGCCCAACCAATTCAATCGACACCCTTCTAAACAGTCGATTGGATATTTCACCAGGTCGCTTGTAGATCTGGTCATTGTGACATGACCGCATAATCGCAAAAGGAATTAGGCAGAAGCCATAATGAACCCGAGCCAGGAGCCACTCTGGCAGTGGCCGAATTCTTCCACGGCTCCCAGTCCTGAGGCAGGCCAAAGGTTTGAAGATACTCACCAACATGATGATTCGGCTGCCCCTCCGCCGGAGTCGTCCCAGAAGCACTACCCACCTCGTGTATGTCGCATCTGTTTGGAAACAGTTCTACCTACCTTCCTTCCTCCTTCCGATAACATCCCTGGTTTTCTCCAACCCAAAGCACGGGTGGTCTATGAGTCTTCTGATGCGGAGCTCGGCCGACTCCTACGTCCCTGCAAGTGCAAAGGATCTTCACGATATGTGCACGAGGGTTGCCTTCAAGCATGGCGACATGCAGACCCGGGCTATAGCAAGAGGAATTTTTGGCATTGCCCAACCTGTGGCTTCCAGTATCGGCTAGAACGTCTCACATGGGCGCGCTGGATCAGTAGTACATCCGCGCAGCTTGGATTGACTTTGTTGATATTGATGCTCACTGTTTTTATGCTTGGTTTTGTTGCTGACCCGATCATTAACCTCTACATCAACCCAATGGAAACCATTATTTACTCTGAATTTTGGGATCCCAGTACCGTGTCTAGCGTCTTGCCGACGGAAAAGCAGCCCTCATGGATTACGCACTTTGTGAAAGGTTTGGCGTCGTTAGGCTTTCTGTCGTTCATCAAAGCCATAGTCGCCATGTCACCTTGGCAGTGGTGGCATGTTCGTCCTAGTGGCTTGGTCAGTAGTGGCAGGACCACAGGCAGAAGCCGAGTAGCGTCAATCACTTGGGTTGTCATCCTGGTTGGCGTTTGCAGTTTCCTTTGGGTAAGTGTGCTCAACGAAGGGTATTATATGCTCTTGCTAATCATAACCAGGCTGTCTACAAAGGCGTAAGAAGCTGGAGTCGGAGAGCCCTAGAAAAAGCCGGTGAGCGTGTCATGGATGTCCCATTGCCTGATGATGAGGATGAGGATGAGGACGAAAATGACCCGGCTTCGGAGAAATCCGAGCAACGTAAAAAAGAGGAATAATCCTGTCCTTCACAAGGAAGACCATTTGGTGTCTGTATAATGTTCCATGTCAACAGCTTGAACCCTTGGTGATTTCCACGCACTACTTTGAGTTGTCACGGTCCTTCTCAATGACGTGCCAATCAGTCAATGTGCGGAGAAAACCCCTGACCCTCGCTAACTCTTGAACAATGTCTGAGAAGTTGGATCCTTGGTCTGAGCGTTTTGTTCTTCCTATGATATCCCTCTTTACAAACCAGCCATTGTTCAAGGGGAGGGTCGAACTGCACCTTCTCGATCAGTCTAGGCGCTTCAAGTAGTGAGCGTTTTCGATTGAATGCAGTACATACCTTATGTAACTTAATAATTAATACAGCTGTTGTAGCCACGGGAAAGACTGAGATATCTCGTTCTCTTATCTTGTAGTATGAATTACAAATAACCTGCCTCGATTGACACCCGTATGTCATACATTACACGTGCGCTGGCTTGACGCGAAAATGTACCCCGTATCAAAATGTAGCTAAAAATCACTCATTCAAACAGCTAACCAAATCCTGACTAATTATACATGAGACAACAGAAGAGAAGTCTACCTTCAACAAACAAAATTCGAAAACACTTTCCCTCTTCATAGGGTGCACTCCTACGATAATGCAGCTTTATCTGCCAAACTAAGCGCTCTTCGCATCCTCCTTAATCAAGTCGGAAGCGCGCTCGGCCACGGCATAAAGCGTACTAACCAAATGACCGCAAACCTGGAAGGGCAGGACAGATGCATCCACCACACGGACATTGCTAGTACCGTAAACTCGGAGACGGTTATCAACAACGCCACCAATGGAACGGGGCATCATGGCAGCAGTTCCAACGGGGTGGAAGTTGGAACGGTCTAGAGGATTTACGTCAGTCCTACCATACGAGTTCAGAAAGGGATTCAACATACAGTTAGCCTTCAGCCAATCAACCCACTTCTCATCCGTAGCAGTGGCCGAGATCTCAGAGAGGCCGGGCTTGGTTTCTTTCGCAATAAGTTTGTTCAATGGTGCACTGCGGAGGATCTTCCTGACGTACTTGGCGATACCGGCCTGGCTCTTGCCATCCCATTCGAACATGAAGTAATTAGGATTGATGGCTGCGGGAGCCGTGGGATCATTGGAGCTAATGTGGATGTTGCCACGGGCAAAGGGGAGGAGGCCCCAGAATTCGGAGGACACGGCGTTTCCACCACCGGGGTGGAAGAGGATCTCGGCGATAGGGACCTTGTCCTTGACGATGAGGTCGAATTGGAGCTGGAAGAGGCGCTCCAGGTCCTCCTGCTTCATGAGGCCGTTGCTGACTTTGACGGTCGCGGCGGCGTAGTCGGCGAGTTGGGACCGGAGAGATGCTACGATGGAGTCGGTCTCGTTGCCGTAGACGTCTGAGATCGAAGGGTAGGTCACGGTTGAGGCACCGGCAAGGACGCCATATCCTTCACCGGCCATGCCGTTGTTGAACTGGTCCTGGAGGTTCTCGCCGACGGTGGGGAGATTGACACGGGTGGTGATGTTGTGCTTCTTGAGGATGCTACGAGAGTTAGAGACGGGGATGAAAAATGTCGAGCATCAGTGTAGCACTTACCTTGGATTTCCAACTCCCGAAAGCTCGAGAATGAGAGGAGATCGCAGGGCACCGGCAGAGATGATGACCTCTTTCTTTGCATGCACACGAGTGACCTTGCCATCTGCAGAGGTAATCTCGACACCATCCGCAACAGCTTCCTCAGCAGAGCCGTTCCTCCAGAAAAGGCGGCTGGCAGTGGTATTCTCCAACAGGTGGAGGTTCTTTCTATCATCATAAGGGAAGTAGTATGCCCGGGCAGCATCCTCACGGACATTGAGGTCAACGTCGATGGTAGATGGGTAGATGTTGAAGCCACGCATCTTGCCTCCATTGACATCCTGAACCCAAGGAACACCAGCGGCTTGGAACGTACGGTTCAGAGCAACTGACAGATTGCCGGAGGCCAGGCTTCCCGACCAGCCGACCTTGAGAGGACCTTCTTCTCCATTCACGGCAGAGTTGTAAGCAGCTCCAGCAGCAACCTGGGAGCTGGTAGGAGCAGTTAAGTTTTCACTCTTCAGGTAGTATGGTAGGAGGTCCTTCCACGTCCAACCTTCGTTTCCAAGTCTCTGCCAAACGTCAATCTGGACATCCTCCGCGCGGGTATAGGCCATCCCTGTGGTTGTCAGTGGATCTTGTCGACTAAGAGACTGTCCATAGAAACATACCATTGATTGTACTGGTCCCTCCAAGGGCCTTACCAGCGCGCAGAACTTGCTGGTTACCTCCCGCATAGGTTTGGTTGACAGACTGGTACTGCCAGTCGATGGCCGAGCCAAAGGCCAACCCATAACCGTTAGCGTTGGTTACGTCCGGGTTGTTGAACACAGAAGCACCGGCCTCAATCAGAAGAACGGAGACATCGGGGTTCTCAGAAAGGCGATTTGCGACCACAAGACCACTTGTACCGCCTCCCACAACGATGTAGTCGTATGCCGTAGTGTTCTTGGCCCGTCCAGCCGGTAATGCCGTGGCCAGCGACAGGGCACTAAGGAATGCCAGTGAGAAGAGCATGTTTAGATGCCAAGCGTCGATCTCTGTCCACTTTGAAGAAAATCCTTTCGCAAAATACTGGCATCAACCACTATATATGCAGTCCATGGTGTTTTAGATTTCAGGCTAATTCGAAGGGTTCCATTCACCTTACTGCTGGGCACTATCGGCTCGGTGAATGAATCGCATCATAGCGAAGTCCTCTGCAAATCCTGCCCCCCTCTAGTAAATGAAGCAACTGATCTATAAGCAACTTCTAAGCATGGTAATGTTTCGGCAGAAACGGATTTATCAGCTTCTGTTAGTGGGTCCATGAATCGAATGCTACTATGCGGAATTCTGCCGCAACTGGTAGGCATTTCTGTCTGATCTGATAAGATCGAATTGATGGTCCCTTCGCGGAATTATCCTTGTGTGTCGTGCTCTCCAGTAGCGAAAGGGTTATTACTACATACGAAAACCAAATAGCAAGTTATCCATTCCAGCATAATCTTCCACTCCTAGATGTCCCTTTCTCTCCCTTTACCTGGTTAGTAGTAGAGTTGACACGTTCTCATACTCAGGGTGTGCTTCTGCAATCGATAGTGAGCACGATGCAATACACACTACTGTCAGGGACGTTCGAGTTAAGCCCAAATAATGTTTAGCGCACATATCTGTGGGAGAAGAATTCAAAAGTGGATCAAATTTACATTATTAAGGTATTATTCAGAATCGGCATACCGAGTAATTCATCCACCGGTGAAGTCCCGACCCGTCAGGAATAGTCTCAGCAAAGTGGCTCGGCAGAATGTCTAGGATCCGAAGACTGCAATAGGCTTAAAATTGCCTCATCGAATTGATCGCCGCGCCATCAAATCCAAGGATCATTCTTCCGATCTCCACCCCGAAATTACACCAGAGTCAAGGTTCCGTTGACAAAAGATGCCCAGACTCGATAGTAGACCCGGCCCGTGTGTTTGGCGGTTGATTGGTTCTAGTAAGGTTTTAGCGGACCCTGACTGTGACAAAACCTAACTTAACTTAATATAACACAGCGCTATTACGGAGGAACTTCCTAGATAAGTGAGACTGCAGGTATCATCAGAACAGCAACTAAACAATTATTAAGTGGTACTAGTACCGATATTGGTTATGGACAGAGGCGTGATGAAGGGGCTGGATTTGGCCTGTTAAACATGAGTGGTTGTTTTCTCCTAATGGACAGATTCTGGACCTTCTCAACAGCAGTTCCATCATCCATGTCAACGTCTAGTGAACCGTACTAAGTCCGGATGATTTGGTTGTGAACCGGAATTAAAAATCTCTCCGGCCGAATCGCTTATGGACTTCTGCGGGAATGATACGCCGGTCGAGACAATGCGCCTTCTACTACAATGTTAAAGAGGCTCTAATATTACCGGGATATTGATTCGACACACTGCTGATGTTTCAAACTCGAATCCACTGGAATCCTGCACGGTTTCTATTAAGCCGTCATAGAATACGGAAATAATCAACTTGATTCCGGTAATCAATGCCATATGCTGATATGGGCTGTAGTCGTTGGATGACCAAGAGACTATTACAGGAAGGATAGGATTTTGGTTGACGGCTTGATTTAGCCTAACGCTTTTGCAAGCTGTCCCATTAAACCGTTCTTCTGTCTCGCCACCCCGTCGGTCATCCGCCTTGGCCTTCGCCTTATGCTGAAAGATCTGAAGCCATTCATTAAGCAGCTGCCATCGCGCTAGGGTGCAAAATAGTTTGTGCAGATTGATCCTGGCACTGATCCAAATACAGCGGATCAAGCTTATCACGCCTTTTCAAACCAATGGGGGGTTTAGACGCCATATCTGCCCATCTCAGACACCTCCATTTATTCCCTCAGCATACCATATCGACTGTGTTGGCTTCGTTTAGGACTACATATCTCTCAAGAGTAAGTCCTCAATTTGCCGTTGATAGATAAAATCACCGTGCTAGATTGAGTACTCAGCGTTCCCTTGTTGGCAAGCTGCTCAATACTACATCTGGGCCTAGGAGACAAAGTTTCCTTGGCTTGTGTTTTCCAAATTGCTCATCATTGTTCTATTGTCTGCGGTGGATGTAGCGTTCTTACAAATATATCTGTACAAAGTCCACGGTCTCGAAACCCCGGTCCAGTAAGGGCAGCCTAGGTGCAGACAAGGTGGCCTAGCCATTGTATTCACAAAGAGACTTGATAGAATATTCACAATACACGCTCTTTCTCTAGCATGTCTCAATTCGGGAAATGTCCGAACTATATTATCCTCTTGAAGAACCGGATGGTCCGGTTAGTGCTCATCTTTCACTCAGGCATAGATAATTCTTTCGTTGGAATCTAAATGTTACCGATGCCACAGCGAAAAACACAGCCAACCTTTGAACTTTGTCCGGCTTTTGTTCTTCATGGTGCTGGATATGCACAAGGTGAAATTTACTTGATGATATCGATGGATTGTAACTCCTCTCCGTTACCCAGTATTCTTACATAAATCGAGAAACAACAACTCTGCTACCAGTAGTTCGGAAGTTGCCGAAGAAGATACTTGCCTAACCAGGGTTCCAGAAAGATATTCACTGCAGACTTCGGCAAACTCCCAAACACTTGGACGCAGCTCACCATAAAGTGAATAACACTCTACGTGGGTCTACTATCCTGTGAATGAGTGTGCAGTCAGGATGGGTCTTCAACATCGAAAAAACACTCTATTTATTCCTGTATCTTATATTGTGTTTCTCGATGGCTCCCACAACCAGCCTCTTCAATCGTTCAATACCTATGCAAATCTACCACGCTTTGATAATTTTGAGTATCAGACTTCTCTCTACTCCTTTCTGAACCTCATCTATCAGGTCCAGCTCCGTAACCAGTGATTCTTCGACAATGTTTGATATTATGAGCCCTCAGATCGCTCTCACCAAGAAGCGTCGCTGGTCTCCTCGGATGGAGGACCAACAGAAACTGGCGAATGCTAAAAAGAGTCTCTCCAGCCTACATACTTTCACTTCTAGTTTCTTGAAGAGCAAGACCTCACCAAGAATCAAGTATACAGACTCTCGGGTTGAAATTCCACATTATGACGAAGAGAGGATTGCCTCTATGCTTGGGGATGCAACGCATACCCCATTGGATCTCCATGAGCAGTCCGGCTCTGGCGAAGATCAAGATCGCCCGCTGAGCTCATCGTCTAGCAACACAAGTCGTAGAAGAAGCATTCACGGCAGTCCCAATCTCCCAGTTACCCCACCCCTTGTCGATTCTGGACTAGATCTTTCAAGCACCGAGCCATTCCCAGACTACTACGAGTCATGCGAGCAGAACATAGCGGTCATTGATAAGGACCACGAGGAAGCATATAACAACGCTATTGCAAAAGTGTTCGAAGAGTCCGTGCGGATAAGAGAGCTTGATACCGGTATCCCTGCTACGGTCTCCCCTCTTGCAACTCACGTTGGCTGTCCTGTTACAACTGACAGTCACCCTAGACTAGCTAAGCCCAACATTCCTCTCGCATCACACTCAACTCTCCATAGTGACACGACTGGACACACCCAGTCCAATACTGCACTAACCTCTGTTCCTCAAATCTCACCTGTCACACCTGTCCATTCCAACTCCGACAAGGGCACATCAATGACTTCTGCTTCTCAGGCCTGGATCTCCCTGAAAGACACTAGCGCCCATTCCAACAAGGCTTCAAATCTAACATCCACCGTATACAATGATGTTTCTGTTCGAGATGTTGCTTCTGGAGCAGCCCGCACATCCACCATTACGCCTCAATTCATGGTGGAGGAGAGAGCCGATATCCAAGCCAGACATATCCCTTCCATATCATCCTCTTCTGCTAGTAATGACCTGTCGGACAGGGCTCTAAGCCAACCATCTCCAGTTATACCTATGTCGCATATCGTCCCTGATACTTGTGATACCAGGATTTGCAATGATAAGAACAACCAATACTACGGGCTGAGCTTCCACTCCTCTCAACCTACCCTGTCTGGGAGCGTTGGCAGTCATAACGCGAGTCAGGCTTTCTTCACTTCACAGCAGGGCTCCATGCCACTCTCTGGAAGCATTTGTAGCAGCCAGATGCCTAGGAGGACACTCTCCATTGATGAAATGACTATGCCAAGTGTGCCTCCCACCCCGAATTTTCAGCCTCCTATCGGAACGGGAAGGCCTCTACCTGGCGCTACCCCAAGACCTGCTCCTAATCCACAGATACAGCGTCGCCTTCATGAAGCCGAAGAGCGGAAGCTCAACACCCTCGAAGAGATGAAGATCATACTCCGCGCAGACCACATGAAGGATGAAATTCAGAGACGTTTTACTGCCATAACTAACATTATCCTCCGTATGGAGTGGATCCTTTTCCGTCGTGACGTGAAGCCCGACGGTACTCGCACCAAAGAATTTCTCTCTGCTCCCATTGTCGGAGAGGTCCAAGAATTGGCGATTCCGATGGTCCAATACCTTGCTTGGCTTGACAAAAAGCTCGAGAGTGAGCTTAGCATCTCGCAACAGGTTCTCCATTGGATTATACAAATCGCAAAAGATCAGGTCCTCGACGTTTATCAGCGTTTTAGACAGACGGCTCGGGTTATCATCGGGTAAGGCACTTCTTCTAGCTATTACCCTTGCCGTTTCCTGAACTAACGACGACTGTAGAAACCTCCGAAAGCCACGGCCGCTCGAAAAACACCTCTTAACCGTCTTCCAGGATTTGTATGACGCGTACGTGTACAGCGATTTTCTCAATATCCGCAATCGACAGGTTCTCCTAGAAGACGGGCTTCACGTCGAGCGAGACAATCTCACCCGCCTCTTAATCGCAGGCTGGGACGTTCTGAACCGCACCATCGAGAACTACAACGAAATTATCACCATCAACCTCGACCTTAAAGGCCGCTTCGTCGATCCAATCATGGAGCGACTGCCTCGTTCGTATGAGATCTGGGAGGAAGAATGGGATGAGTACCAGCGACAGTGTGAAATCCAGAGGAATATGGAATTGGATAAGCTTTGGATGGAGGCAGAGGAGAGGGCTTGTGCTGAGGCGCAGGAGCAGGAGTTGGCCCGGGCCCAGGCTCGTGCGATGGCTGAGTTCAGGGCTCAGATACATTTGCCTGGGCAGAGACAGGACTTTAGACAGTGGCACGTTGACTCTCGTATTCCAGTTTAGTAGGATTGATGAGCATGCATTTGCTGGCGAAAATTTACGCTCAGGCTTGCCGTTTTCCTTTGGCTTCTCTTTCTACTACTCTTTTCAATGATCTCCTTTCAGCGTGTGGAGAGCAACAAAGACCAGAATAAAAGAAGAGAAGAGAAAAGAAAGGGTAGAGACAAAAAAAAGAGGTCTACGGGTCTAACTAACGTGGGAGAACAATGACCGACAAATCGGAGGGATGGATGGGACCAGCATGGCGGACGGGATAATCCATGGAATCTAGTCATATCTAAGCGAATACCCTTTGCAATGAGACATGAATTACTAGGAATTGAAATGGAATACATTCATAACAACATTATCATCCAACAACCTAAGCCGAGCTATCCTTGTAAGAACCCAGCTTGAACAACTTCTTCGCATTTTCCCTTCCAATCTTCAACCGATCCGTCCCATTGAGCTCCGCATTATCAAACCACTCACAAGCATCAGAGAAAGTCTCAAATGGATAATCAATCGAGAACAAAATCCGATCGGACCCAACCTCCGCCATACAGAAGTTCAGGGTAGTCGTGGAAAAGTGCCCAGAGGTAGTAATCCAGATATTCTCAGCAAAGTAATCGCGAATCGTCTTCTTACACGTCTCCGCAAGACCCAACAACTTCTTTCGATCCTCGAACCAATGGTTAATCCGCCACATATCGAAAGGAACATGTTCACCCAAGTGACCCATGATAATCTGCAGCTTGGGATGACGGTCGAAGACACCATTCGTGACCATTCCGAGAACGTGTAGACTGACACCATGCGCGAAGCTAAGAGGCGGACCCACGAGCCATTTGCGGTCAGCCCAGAGCTTCTCGTAGATTGTGCCCGTCGGGTTACGCGGGTGCATGTAGAAGGGTACGTCGAGCTCTGTGCAGGTTTGCCAGAAGATATCCCATTCTGCGTTGTCGTAGAAGATCATGTCGTCTCCGTCTGGGCCGGCGCGTTGGGTATCGTTTACCAGGGCGCCTTTGAAGCCGTATTTCTCGACACAGCGGCGGAGTTCATCGGCTGCTTCCTTGGGGTTGTGCATTGATAGTGTGCTATGTTGCTGGTTAGTATTGAAGTATGCCTTTTTTTTAAAAAAAAAAATGAGGGTGGGAAGGTATGGAGACTTACGCGAAAGCGCCGAATCGGTCGGGGTTCACGCGCACTTGTTCGGCGATGTAGTCATTGATCTCGACGGCGAGCGCTTGGGCTTCGACGGGGTCCCAGATGTCCTGTACACCGGGGGCTGTGTATGAGAGGATTTGGTAGCCGACGCCATGCTTGTCTGCGTGCTCGATGCGGATCTTGTTGATGTCGGTGATTTCTTTGACGTGGGTTTCGGCGTCCGTGGAAAATAGACTTGCCCACCAGCGTGTCTTTTCTTCGAAGCGGGGAAGCGCGAAGGCTTCCTCAAGGGCGATCTTACCAAGCATTGTTGGTTGTTGTTGTTGGACTCGGTTTGGGGATCAGGTATGCTAGAGGTGGAGTATGCTGCGAGAGGGGAGGGGATGGGGGATTGTATGTAGGATATTGTACAAGAAGATGGAGGGGGCGTGTAGATAATGAGAGATGAACCGGTAGAATGCAACAGCTTTATATCATTTGAACGGACGGGTCATGGCGGATGTGTACCGCACTTCCGATGGGAAACGCAGGTGTAGGGAATACGTTTGGTTGCATGGAACTTTGCCCATCCTCGTTCTTACTACCGACGGTTGCTGCTGAGTGTGGGGAAAGTGGGTTCTGGGATGGTTGGGTGCGCCATGAGCTTCGTAGTATATCTGGCTAAGTCTAATCGGAAACGAGCTCTGGATTGTTCCTTTCGTTGATATGTTAGTAAATTGATAAAACTGGGAGGTGGTCATCAAGGAAGCATTGTTTCAATTCTCTAAAGTTGCTGGAAATTGCAAATACTGCTAGCAGATCTTCCCTGCTGGGTTCCATGATAGATAGTTAGCTTCAAAGATATTAGTTAGCTTAGTTGCCGCTGCTTTGTGAAAGTTGCATCCGAACGGAAGCCTTCGCCCCGCATATCGGAAGCAGACCTGATTGTTAATCCTAGTATGAAGTGGTTAACAGTGGATTGTATAAGAGGTGCAGTATCCGACGTGCGCGGGACGCTCGAAGGTGCCGTAGCCGACGGTCTTACCCCGCAAATTATTAGTATGGGTCTGTACAACCGACGGGGGGTTTTGCCGGGTTTCATAGTAGGCGCAGATCATTAGGAAGCGATTCGGAATTAGAATATTGGGTATTTGTGAGCAGTTGACTGTAAGATACTCTGTCTTAGGGTCATTCGTACCCGGAAATTTCCTCCTTTTTCTTTTCTCTTTTAATAGACGGACAAGGCTGGGTATATACTTTGTGTAGTTTATACACATAACAGAGTAGATACAGACGACTCGGGCTTACCGCGAAGGCTGAAGGACATAAGTGGTCTTCGGATTGCTTGTACACCCTTGATAAAATAAAGAAATCAAGGCTTGCCTGTGAGTTATTTAATGTACCACCACTTGATTTGTACATACCTTGATGTCGGTAATTGCGAGTGTGAAAGCGGGAAGCTATAAGGGACATGTTCTGCTATTATCTGCCGTTCCCAACGGCTTACGGAGCCACTGACATCTCAACGGCATGATGCTTGTTGTCTACTAGCTTTGTGGCATGCTAAAGTAATATTTAACAGACACAGGGATAATCCCTGAAACACCCAGGCCTTTGTAGCTAACCTTATAAGCATCGAACAATTCGCACTATAAAGTAGTATGGCAGCGGGGCTATGCGGGTGAGATAGGTTTAGCGGGCTAAAATGAGATCAATCGTGGTGATGTTGCAGCACAGCTTGCTATATAATGGGCAAGAATCACTTGGATTATCTTCCCTCTAGCGCTCCAAAAGCTGGGCTCCGGTGATCAACAAGCTTTGGCATTCTGGATCACTAAAGTGAACTCATTGTCACGCTTGAAAGACGATCATTCTGAGTAGATCGTGCCAGAAAAGCCATCGGGGAAAACACACTCAGCTATGAGCGCATCAACGTGACTAAGACCATTGTTACTCCGATGATTTCGACTGACAGGAATATGATATTCTCACAAGATGATAGCTGATCGCGTAAAGCGGGTCAGATGGGGCAACCAACAAGCTGATGTCAGAAAAAAATTGGTAGATCGACTCTAATACCGTAGTTGGTCTTAGTAGTAGAGGCACAAAAGTAAATCAATCTTAGTAAAACCGGCGTGATTCTCTAGGCGTTTTGTAACATTCCCAATGTCCTCCGCATTTTGAGCCATACCTATCTCACTCAGCCTTCTATATCCGGTGACGATCAGTGAGGCTGAGCGCACATGACCTCTACTGACGGGTCAGAACATAAGTGGAAGGCCATTTGGACGATACTGCTGCGCTGGCAGTACCACTTTACTGTTTGTTTTAGATTTTCTTTTACCGAACACTAAGGGATAATTGCTCTAGAATAGACAGTGAATGTTTAACCATGGAACATCTTTCCCAAGCAAAGATGTGAATACTTGGGGAGAAACAAAAACAGAGAAAAAAAAAAAAAAAAAAAAAAGAGAGAATGGTGCAGATTATCCAATCAGCCTCGTGATCTGCCCAAATCAGTATGTGGTACTACTTGTAGTAAAGTAAGGCTAATCCCAGGATTGTGGTTAACTTAGCGACTGTTAAGTTTGCTTTTCTTCTTTAACCTAAGCCACGGAAGTTACATGTCTTTGTATACTATCCTCCCACAGTTTCATTATCAGTACAATCATTATTGGAAGGGGCGTCCGACCTTCAAAAATGACCTCCCCTTCCTAAGTCCACCTTGTACAAGGCGCGGTCTAGTCCGCAGCATGAAGACCCAATGCGAATAACTTCCCTCAGTCACACAGATCAGATTATGCCAAGCAGCCACTCGTATAGGCCGACCCCAGATTTGCCAACCTCTTAAAGTTCCCCTAAGATGGCCATTATTGGGCCGAATGCAAAGTTCACTGCCTTCTTTGTCTGCTTTTCCCGCTTTTTCAACACAAGCCATTCCAGACAGGCTACTCCAATCAACAAGGGCTGACATTCGGGCACACAGGCTCCCAGGCTCCACGCAAACAAAGCAAAATCCGAGTCAGCCTCCGATAGCATGAGCCTAGAAAAGACAATCGTCGACAGAGGTCCAACCACCACGGCCACTGAATCACTCTGCCTCAGTGAGGGTATTGCCTCATGCCAGCGGAAGTATCCCATACTAACTGGGCACCTTCAAATACCCACAAAGCCGCTGCAGCATCTCCAAAAACCTATTGCGGCTCCGTTTTTTACTTATCTGATCCACTCACTGTATATCTGTCTCCTCATCCTTGAAATCAGAATTTAAACTACCTCTCTCCACGTGGGTGACCGGTCTGTGGAGTTTGTTGTAAACCAGATGGGACCTCGGCTATATTCCATGGACTTTCAAAACTCTTAGACTTGATAGTGGCTGCTGGTTCTTTGTTGGCTTCCGGTGCACCTGAGCAACCGCTGCCCTACCCACGGTTATTTTTATCGACTATACCATTTCCGATTCCAAAATTGTCCGTTCTGTCGTTGCTGTTCATATTGCAGTCTCTGCGCCTATTTCTAACGCTGTTCAGTCATTCCCTTCGCGGTATCTTCAAGTTGAAGCAATTGTTCCTTTAGTTTTGTTTGACACCGTTCCAATCGCAGGATACGTACATAGCGGTGTCGGTCACATGCACACACAATGTTTGGGAAAGAGGATATGGGGCCTTTTGCAGACCCTCAACACAACGACGATACCGAGCATGTGGAAAGAAACGAGAACGCCATGCCACGGCGCATCTTAGGGACCGCCGCAGAGCGTGCAAGGCGCAACATCAATGCTAAACTGGCCAATCCACTGGCGGGGTATTCCTATGAGGAACTGCGCAGAAAAGGTATCAACTTCGCTGTTACACACCACATAGGGGATGAAGAAGATATTCGTGCTTTTGGAATAGGTGCTGTTCTGGCCCAAGTACCGGAGAAATTCAATCATGTCCCCGACCTGAGGCCCGATGAAATAGAAGTTCTACAGAAGGAGTTCTCCAATCGTTGGTCCCAGCCCTGGACAATGTACCTAGTCATCGCTCTATGCTCCCTGGCTGCGGCCGTACAAGGAATGGGTACGTTAATAATATACCTACTTTCTATCTATACCTATGTTGAAGTGCAGTAAGCTGACATCGAACCGGCATCTTAGATGAGACTGTTGTCAATGGCGCCCAAATCTTTTATAAACATCAATTCGGAATTGGAAACGATGACTCTAGGTCTAATTGGCTGGTCGGTTTGGTTAATTCTGCTCCTTATTTGTGCTGTGCTCTCATTGGTTGCTGGCTGACAGTGCCATTCAATGCTTGGTTTGGCCGCCGGGGGACTATTTTCATCACTTGCTGCTTTTCTGCACTTGCCTGCCTTTGGCAAGGGTTTGTGAACACCTGGTGGCATATGTTTATTGCCAGATTTGTGTTAGGCTTTGGTATCGGCCCCAAATCTGCGACAGTCCCAATATATGCCGCCGAAACAGCCCCTCCTGTCATTCGCGGTGCTTTGGTAATGCAGTGGCAGATGTGGACTGCGTTCGGCATCATGTTTGGCTATGCTGCGGACCTTGTCTTTTATGAAGTGCGAGATCCAACAGGGATCACAGGCCTAAACTGGCGCCTCATGCTGGGCTCAGCGATGCTTCCAGCCATCTTGGTTTGTTGTTTTGTTTTTACCTGTCCAGAATCACCTCGTTGGTATATGTCGCGGAAGTGCCACGATAAAGCGTATCGATCAATGTGTAGCCTGCGGTTTCACAAGATCCAAGCTGCCCGTGACCTCTTCTACATGCACACATTGCTGGAGGCCGAGAATGGAATGAAACTTGGCCAGAATAAAGCACTCGAGATGATAACCGTTCCCCGCAATCGGCGTGCCTTGGTTGCATCTGAGTTGGTCATGTTTCTCCAACAGGTGTGTTCCCAATTTCATATGACCTATACTTTTACGGTGATGAGTACGCTGATCATGATATAGTTCTGTGGTATGTGGCATAAACTTAATGAATCCAACATGGTCAGGTTTTGCTAGGTACTTACTCTGTCTCTATTTAGGGGTCAACGTAATAGCCTACTATTCTTCCGAGATCTTCCTGGAAGCAACAAATCAGCGAAATGCTTTGACGGCATCCCTAGGCTGGGGTCTGATTAACTGGCTCTTTGCCATCCCAGCAGTGTACACCATTGACACTTTTGGTCGTCGCAACTTGCTACTTACCACATTTCCTCTCATGGCACTTTCCATGTTCTTCACCGGCTTCAGTTTCTGGATTCCACAAGAAACTCACAGCTCTGCGCGACTAGCATGTATTGCTCTGGGTTTATATCTCTTCGGCATTGTTTATTCTGTAGGAGAGGGCCCTGTGCCATTCACCTATTCAGCCGAAGCCTACCCGCTCTACATACGTTCGTATGGCATGGCACTCGCTACTGCGACAACCTGGTTATTCAATTTTACTCTTGCCGTTACATGGCCATCTCTTCGCAGCGCGTTTACCCCGCAAGGAGCATTCAGTTGGTACGCAGGCTGGAACATTGTGGGTTGGTGGCTGATACTCTTGTTGATGCCCGAGACTAAGGGAAAAACACTGGAAGAGTTAGATCAAGTTTTCTCCGTTTCCACCACTTTTCATGCTGCGTACGGACTTCGGCAAATCCCTTATTTCTTCCAAAGATATATCTTACGCCAGAACGTGCGGCCGGAGGTCTTGTATGAGCGTGAAGATGCATTTAACGTCCCACCAGAAGCTAGTTACAACACTCTGTGAGCAGATGGAGGATAGTATGTATATAGTGTACGATTTGTTATGTTCACATGCTTGAGATGCGGTATGACATGTATTGTACCTTCACAATTTCGCTGCTGGATAACTATGATACCATCTATATCTGGAGCCTTAATATGCCTACAGTATCCGTCGCGTGACGAGACCAGGGTGGTCCGAAGATTAGACTAAGTTGGCTAAGTTGCTTAATAGATGCGCGCTTTTTTGGACAAAAATAAGTTTGTTTTTGATTGATTCGTTTTAATAGG